CCCCCCCCCCCCCAGTGCAGTGTGGTCCATATAGCGTTGACTCATCTTCCCCAGCTCTAACTTAGTGCTTCCTGGGCTGGGGTCTCTGGAGGAATTTCTCTCTCTAGGGATTAAAGATCCGGAGCCAGAAGCTGAACCTAGCCCCGTTGGATTGCGCACTGCTTGATCTTAACATTATGTTCCTTCTTTTCCCTGTTCCTTTCTGGGAACATTTCACTTCTAAATACTTTATCCTGCCCCATCAAGACTCAAGTGTGTGTGTACATGGTGCTGGTGTTAATTTCTAGGGCAGTGAGACAACCCCAGAGGCTTAAGTTTCTGTAATGCAAATGAAAAATTGAGTTACTTAAAAGAAATAGAGGCTGACACACTGCTGTGTCCTTAATATGTGTTGAGTAAACAAATGAGTGAATTTGATTTAGCATAAATCACATTCTTGAGCATAAAAAGTAGGACCCCGATGGAGATTGAAAATATTGTAAATACTTGTATGACAGTTCAAAATGTGTGTTCTTTAAGTATTTAACTTACCTGGAACAGCTTAATTTCTTTGTTTGACTTTTATGAGTTGTGGTCTCAATTATGCCTGCCTAGTAGAGCTTATATTTTCTCTTGTAACATAACTATTTTTTGTTGTTTTATATATTCTTTATAATGTAACTTAATTATTTGACCTGAGGATTTTTTTTTTTTTTGGTCTATGACTGACTCCTTTGCTAGTACCCAGCCGTAACACTAGCCATATTTTCAAAACCAAAACTGGGTCACATGGTTTAATAACTAAACAATATCTGAGGTTGGAACCGATCAAGATTTTTTGAAGTTTACTAATGAGACAACTTACTACAAATGTTCGTTAAGTAAAGAACTCTATTTAAAACTTCTCCTTAATGCCTCACAGTGTGAGTGGAATGCTGTTGAAATCAAATTCTGTGGCAAAGTCATCCCTCTTGGATTTTTTTTTTTTGAGTGGGGTCTCACCGTGTCACCCAGAACTGGTCTCACTCTTGTTGCGGCATCATCACAACTCACTTCAGCCTTGATCTGCTGGAATCACGATCCTTACACCTCAGCCTCCTGAGTAGCACACCACCATGTCCGGCTCATTTTTTAGTTTTTTGTAGCGATGAGGTCTACAACTACAGGGCTTAAGTAATCCTCCTCTGCCTCCCAAACTGCTATACCTGTAGAACCTATATAGGCACTTAAAGTTTTAGGGGCATTGTTTATTTATTTGAATATTTTTTCAGAAATTTGTTTACCTATTAGTCTCTTCAAAAAATTATAAATTTATCTTTTCAGACTTAATTTTTATGCTTACATTCCTTATCTTCTCAATTTTCTTGCGATATACGAGGGGGGAATCCCCAAAAACCAGAATTTATTTATTAAAAATTGTGTATTTTTTCTTCAAGTGAGGATTTATTGAGAGGACAGAAAAACTCCTGCAGTTAGAGGAAACCCAAAGGGGTTGCCCAAAATTTGTGTATGCTTACATGTTTTAACTTAAGTCACCTTCAAAGTAATCTCTGTCTGGTGCAATATACCTATCGAAACACTTTCCACTGCTCAAAGCAGTTTTTGAACTCATCAACTTTGATGTCTTTTGGTGCTTCTGCTGTTTTTTGTTTCATCTCTTCCACATCAACAAAAGTCCTTTGAGGACTAGTTTCACCTGGGAAACAAAAAGTCACTTAGGGTGAGATCAGGTGAATAAGGAGGGTGGGGCATGGGGGTCATGCTATTTTTGGTAAAAAAAAAAAAACAACTGAAAACACAGCACAGTGTGGGCAGGTGCATTAAATCACCCATCAAGAAATGGACACACACATTGAAACAATCTACCAAAAAAACACACTGAAGTGGAAAACAGTCTCTCAAAACACCACTAGCATTCTGATGCTGATGGGTTCCTAGAACACCCAGTGGAAGAAATCTCTGCTACCAGGGGCCCACCCTCCCAAAAATAATTCCATTGGGGGGGAATCCTCCCTTGTGTGTGCATGTGTTGTTGTTTTTTTTAACTATTTTTTCTCAGTTTATTTTAGATTATTTTAAGGATAATCGCATAATTTATGGCTATTTGTTTCTTTTACAACTTTGGCCACTTCTAAACTTTTGAAATATTATAGTGCATTTTACTAAGTAATCTATAATATTATTTTTATTTCATCTTAAGCCAATTATGAAAAATTTTTAAATTTTGGTAGTTGAAATGTTTTTTGTTTTAGTTCTTAATATTAATTTCTAGTTATAAATTTGAACTAGAGAAGTGGCCTGTGCAATTTCTTCTTTTTGCATATTATTGAAATTTTATTTGTGACCAGTATTTGAAACTACCTCATGCATCCTAGACAAGATAACACGGTATATACTTCAAAGTATGACATTCAGATTATAGCTGTGGTCAATGTTGTGAATTATATTTTGAAAGTAAATATTATATATAACACTGTTTTTGTCCATTTGATGTACTTGTGCCTGAGTTTATCATGTCTCCTGCTATATTTTTATTTGTCAATATATCATATTTTACATCATATTCATTTTATATAATTTTATTGTATGTGAGTTAGTATTTTAACTTCACAACTGTTATACCTTTTTTCTAGGTTGTACCTTTTATCAAAGTGAATAACTTTCCATTTCTTGAATATCAGTTAACTTGAATTCTAATTAATTTTCCTTTTTACCTTACTGTAGGTGTCCTTTGGCACCTGCAACCAAATACACCGATGATCTAATTAAAATGTTTATCTCACCTAGATTTTTATCAACTTGATTTTTATTATTTGGAATAATGTATGAAACACATATATCTTATTATATAATTCAGGAGACATCAAATTGTAAAAACAATTTAATGTTATACAAAGAACATCAAAAAAAGCTTAAATTAATTTGAAAAATTCTACTCATTCATCTGCAGATCTACTGAGCTCTTGCCAGTTTTCATTATTGTAGTGCTGGGTACTCCTATAGTGCTAAACATTTGTTTCATCATGGTCTATGCAAACCTGTCCACTCTCAGGCAGCTGAGAGGCCTAAGAAAGAGAATGACATATTCAGTTTCTTAGAAAGAAACATTTAATAGAGACTTATAAACAGAAGCCATGTCTGTGTTTCAGGAAGCAACAAAACAAGATGGTGGATCCCTGTGCCTTTACCCCCCAGATCCAGGACCTATATATCATAGGAAAGGGGTGATGCAGAAGAAATGAGTAGGACAGTTGAAGTACCATAACATCGTGATTGTTTGAGCTAAGAGCAAATTTATGGTAAATTTATGCTTTTGCACAAGGAACAATAGATAAATGGGAGGTCTTCCCAGAACTGGGATTAATCAGAAGTCAACATAGTGGAGTAGCATCCAAGATGGAGTTACTTTAACCTCTGCAGCATTATAATAGTGTTGAGAACAATCAAGAACAAAATATGATCAAGAAAGTTACAGTTTAGGTCAGTGGTTCTTAACATTTTTTGTTGTGAATTCCTTTGAAAATCTGAATAAAAGAATTCCACACTACTACTTTCCATCACACACACTTCCGAATATTTTTCACATATTTTCAAATGAATTTATGGACCTTGCCTTAACAAAATTTGGTTGGTGCACAGTTTGGTGTATTATAGGTGATAATAGACTTGGAATTTAAAATCTGTCTTTGAAACTAACAGTGTCTACTGTGCCCTTGGACAGACCACTTAAGCCTTTCTTTAGTTTTCTCCTCTTTTAAGGTAATAGCATTTCCTTAGCAGAATTGTTTTATTCAATGAGACAGCATATGTAAATAACTCAGTAAAAGAAGAAGCAAGGTGTTACTAATGAACT